TTTTTAATCGAACACAATTAGTGGCTCATAAACCCACACTTGTGATCATTCATGTGACAACATTTGCAAAAGCATCTCTTTATCAATTAACTCAGAAAAATAATGACAGAGAAACACGCCGACTGTTAAAATAAAACAGCGAGAGACAAACTCGACCACGTGCTTTAACCTTGAAACGCGTGAAGAATTAAAAGTGTGTGGCTACACAACATCACCTGTCAAAACACTTCATCAATTAACTCCATCGATCAATTAAACCATCAACAAACACGCTCCCCAACATGTAAAGGCTTTCGATTACCTGATTGAAGGTAAATCCCGATTGAGTGAGTGCACCTGCCCTGATAGCACACTTACATCACGGAGATGTCTATTTGACGTCTGCATTTACATCTGCAAGACATATTTTTTAGAGTGTTTGCTCATCGGCATTATGTCTATAGGACATTTCTTAACAGATGTCAAATAGACGTTTAGAAGATGTCTTTAAGATGTTTATGATTTAGAATGAATGTAAAACTGACATTTTAAAGACGTCTATCAGATGTTTGTACACAGCAGATGCTTTCCAGATGAAGCGATCTTTAACAGACATCTTGCAGACGTACGTGTGCTATCTGGGTGTGGACTGATTGTGTACTAGTGGTTGTTTGTTCGTGAAAGAATCGGCGTTTTAAACGACTCTTTTAAGTGAACAAATTGTTATCGTTCAATTCGATGCTGTGCTTTCACTGGATCTCCCTTTGGAAACGTGTGCCCGCTTTCCTGACTATAGCACGAACCAATAGCATTCGAGCACATTCTCTAAAGGAGAATTTCGTTGGTTGAACATGCTGAAAGAATACGCCTCCTTCACTACACGAGTCACCTGAACAAGACTGAACAAAAGAACCACTGAATAAACATCTAATTTGTAAACGAACTGAATGAACTGGGAGGTGGCAATGAAAAAATTAATGAACACTGTTTATGGAGTTTCGTAGTATTCCAGATAAGCAAAGTTTAATAAAATACAACAAGGCTTGTTTCGGTATACTTGCTCGAGTGAATGACAATGACTCACTAGCTCCATAACACACAAAAGATTAGGTTGTCGCCACCTGCAGGCGTAACCATGTAGAAAGGCAACTGAATGAATCGATGAACAAATCGTTAATAGATTAAAAAGATTTGAATCGCTGAGATGCATTGTCCCAGCCATTAGTAGGTAGATGTTTTGCTAACCTTGGGTGTGTTTCCCAAAAGCAACTATGGTCGCAAGTTCCATCGTTACCAATAGTTCAATGGAACTTGCGACCATAGTTAGCTAACGATGCTTTTGGGAAATGCACCCCTTCTCGAGATGAGAAAGAAGCAAAACCTGAATGAACCTTCTCATGGGAATTGTTCATAAATGGACTAAATGACACCTCATTTGTAAACAAACCAAAAGAAATGAGACGTGACGTTGAACAAAACGAACAAATTGAGTATTTAAAAAATCATTATGATGCTTAAACACTGTTTATTGAGCTTCTTAGTAGATTTGCAGAAAAAAGTGTAGTAAGACTTTTTCGTTTGACTCGCTCGAGTGAATGACTCAATGACTCCAGACATCTTGCAGACGTACGTGTGCTATCTGGGTGTGGACTGATTGTGTACTAGTGGTTGTTTGTTCGTGAAAGAATCGGCGTTTTAAACGACTCTTTTAAGTGAACAAATTGTTATCGTTCAATTCGATGCTGTGCTTTCACTGGATCTCCCTTTGGAAACGTGTGCCCGCTTTCCTGACTATAGCACGAACCAATAGCATTCGAGCACATTCTCTAAAGGAGAATTTCGTTGGTTGAACATGCTGAAAGAATACGCCTCCTTCACTACACGAGTCACCTGAACAAGACTGAACAAAAGAACCACTGAATAAACATCTAATTTGTAAACGAACTGAATGAACTGGGAGGTGGCAATGAAAAAATTAATGAACACTGTTTATGGAGTTTCGTAGTATTCCAGATAAGCAAAGTTTAATAAAATACAACAAGGCTTGTTTCGGTATACTTGCTCGAGTGAATGACAATGACTCACTAGCTCCATAACACACAAAAGATTAGGTTGTCGCCACCTGCAGGCGTAACCATGTAGAAAGGCCACTGAATGAATCGATGAACAAATCGTTAATAGATTAAAAAGATTTGAATCGCTGAGATGCATTGTCCCAGCCATTAGTAGGTAGATGTTTTGCTAACCTTGGGTGTGTTTCCCAAAAGCAACTATGGTCGCAAGTTCCATCGTTACCAATAGTTCAATGGAACTTGCGACCATAGTTAGCTAACGATGCTTTTGGGAAATGCACCCCTTCTCGAGATGAGAAAGAAGCAAAACCTGAATGAACCTTCTCATGGGAATTGTTCATAAATGGACTAAATGACACCTCATTTGTAAACAAACCAAAAGAAATGAGACGTGACGTTGAACAAAACGAACAAATTGAGTATTTAAAAAATCATTATGATGCTTAAACACTGTTTATTGAGCTTCTTAGTAGATTTGCAGAAAAAAGTGTAGTAAGACTTTTTCGTTTGACTCGCTCGAGTGAATGACTCAATGACTCACTCAACAAAAGACACAAAAGACTTCCCTGATAGCACACGTACATCACAGAGACATCTATTTGACGTCTGCAAGACGTATTTTTAGAGTGTTTGCTCATCTGCAATAGGACGTTTCCTATCAGATGTCAAATAGACGTTTAGAAGATGTCTTTAAAGGTGAAATATCATGAAGATCTGACTTTTCCAGGTTTTAAGTGCTATAATCAGGTCCCCGGTGCATCTACCAACCAAGGAAGCGTGAAAAAGTTCGGTAACTTTGTTTTGGTAAGCCTTTTTCTGCAAGCGTCTGAAAAAACGATGGCGTCTGATTTCGCTCCCCTAGTGACGTGGCAAAGGGATCTCATTATAATATTACTATGGTTTAAAACGCATGATTTCAGCGCGCTAAACATGATAATCAGAACCAAAACCGAAGTTTTTAGCAGGTCAGAGCTGTAATGGCGCAGCTCTATTCTGGAAAAGGGTGCGGAGAGCATTAGCTCATTTGCATTTAAAGAGACATGCTCTATTACAACATGCTCTAATACAGTTTGTTTCTGCTTCCACTCAAAATAGGCATTTTCAAAATGATATAATAAATGATCTGTGGGGTATTTTGAACTGAAACTTCACAGACACATTCTGGGGACACCAGAGACTCATATTACATATTGCAAAAAGGGGCATAATATGTCTCCTTTAAGTTGTTTATGATTTAGAATGAATGTAAAACTGACATCTTAGAGACGTCTATCAGATGTTTGTACACAGCAGATGCTTTCCAGATGAAGCGATATTTAACAGACATCTTGCAGACGTAGGTGTGTTATCTGGCTTGGTTGTCACCGTCTGGTAAGAAAGGTCACTGAATGAATCAGCGAACAAACCTTTAATAGGTTCAAAAGATTTGAATCGCTGAGATGAGTCAAAGTCCCAGCCACTAGCAGACACGTTCTGCTAACCTTTTCGGGATGAGAAAAAAAGCAACTGAAGCCTAACTGAACTTGCTCATGGGAATTGCTCATAAATGGACTAAATTATGTCTTAATTAGTAAATATTGCTTTAATTAGAATGACATAACAGTAATTATGATAACCTTCCAAGCAAACATGGAACAATTCCTTGTGTGACTCCTGTTTGGTTATTTCAGGGAACCAATTCTCAACGTTTGGTTCGTTTTATCACGAACACTTTGTAAATGTACATTCAATTATGTTCAACTATACAGATTTGTGTTTGCAGGA